TAGAATTTGACCTGTGACGTGACCCTCTATGGGATGTTGTTAGATGGTAGTTTATCGAGCATGCAAGCAGATCTAACATTTAATTTTCATTGGATTGGTAAAGTAAGAGACAATATGATCAATAGGTCCATAGCTGCAGGACAGTTCTACAACTCTGCTCACAGCTCACTCTCTTTAGTAAGTGACACTAGTATATCCTCAGTATTGGTACCAAGTCCTGCTTCACCAGGCCATAGAGCAATGTCTTGTGCAATACAAAATTAACCATTTTCATTCTCTGTCATTCTTAACCTTATAAAGTTGCAAATAATATATGCATATAAAAAGAAACCAACTGATTTGCTGTTAAAATTAGTTTGATAAAATAGAAAATAGACAGTGTTGTTCATTATAATAAATAAAAAAATTACATATGATTACAATTTGATTTTCATCATACAGATTTATTATGCATCTGGTTATTATGGTATATGTAGTAGTTACCCCATATCATACTGTTGGTTATGTGTAGATACCCGATGGGCGTGGTCATAATGACACGAGGGAGCGTAGCTCCCGAGTTGTCATTATGGCCACGCCCATCGGGTATCTACACATAATCAACAGTGTGATATGGGGTAAATGACTTGTACCATAGTTTTCAAAAATCATTCATATGTAAGTCAGCTTAGGACTCGGTCGGACTGGTTTGTGTGATGGAAACATTAAGTGTTTTGTTTCAAAGATGCATTTGGATTTTATATGATTTTATGCTTCTTCGTGTCCTTCTGACCACGTCCATCGAATATAGGGTAAGTGATTTGTATACAATACTTTTCAAATTTTGCTACAAATTTTGCCCTATACTCGGCACTCAGGGTCATTGAACAGTGAGGGATCTTCCTGTCAACACCTTCTGCGACACGGTACCTCTGTTTATACTTTATAGGTCTCCACGTCCCACAGTGGGATTCAACTCCTTATTTCGTGGCTCTAGGGCAGGTGCTTTAACCAATGGGCCACGCAAGCGACATAAAAATTAAACATATCTAGGCCCGTTTAATAAGTTTGATTAATGTAATTGAAAAAATAACGAGTTTGGTTTCAATGATATATGTTAATTTGATATGATTTTTTTTCTCGTAAATTTCAATCGTCAAAAACTCAAAATTACACACTAGTAATTTAAATTTATTATGAACTTGGTTTAACTTAAATTTTTGTAAACCTAATACAAACTTCGCCGTGCACAGTTGTACGTTAATTGTTCGAAATGTTTGTTAGGGGTTATGTATATTTCATTTTAATGAAAATTAGATCTTTGATCGGCTAGATCCGCAATCGAAAATGTCATTTAAGTACAGTAGTGTACACTTGCTTTTACGTCAAGTATGTACCATGTTTCCTTTGTTGGTTATCAAAAGAACGATATATTAGAATCTACTTAGCTAACGTCAGTTACGTTACCCTGGTCATTACACTATTTAAAAAAAATGTTTTAAAAAATCAAGCGATTTCTGAAGTTTTTTCTTCACTAACAAGCCCGTATGATTGTTTCATTTAAAAACCGTGCATGATCGTTTTATAAATAGTTCTTTTGTCCCGACTCGATGGGCGGAGTTATAGAAAAGTGTGGGTTATGTACAGAAAACCCACACTTTTAACAAAAGAAATCACAACTAACTATGGTACAAGTATGTTTAAAATAAGATGTATATAATTGTGTGTTGACTATTGAACATACCTATACACTGTATTTGTTTTCAGGCTTATGTATCCTTCTTCTCCCAGTGTATACAGGATGAGTATGGATCTAAGGGAATTATTTGTCAGGTATGTCAAAAAAGTTTAATTTTTTGTATGTTGTCCTTCGAGTTCAGGTATTGCACTTATCTGAATAAATAAAAAAAATTAATAAATCAGATAATTATGTATTTTGATGTCCTGAGATTCCAGGTATTATTAGTTTACTTTAATACATATGCACATAACATTTGATAAATGAGAATGCCATCATATGCATGTATGTTTTTAAAGTTTTTTTTGTACTCTTAAGATAAAAAAGGAAATTATGAAAAAAACTCCACTTTATAGTTTGGCTCATATTATCATTATTATATACATTGTCATGTATAAAACCAAATTTTTTACGTACCAAATAGAAATTGAGAGACATTGAATCATTCATTATACATGTAACCATGTTTACAGAAATGTAGCCTATTTGTATAGATCTTGCGTTGACGAATTGCATAAAAATTTGTTTTATTAATTGATCCTGTCTAAATTTCAAACATGTACTTTACCTTGTACATATTTTTACAGTGTGTGATGCCGTATTTTGTTGCAACTAAGATGTCCAAGATCAGGAAACCCTCTTTATTTGCACCTAGTCCCACCACCTACGTGAAATCTGCCCTGAATTCTGTTGGTGCATCGGTTGCTACCCATGGCTACTGGGCACATAACATGCAGGTACATTTATGTATTCTAAGATGTCATTAGTCATTTAACTTGTAAATTTACAGATCAAGAACATATGCAATGTACATTTTCACAAACTCAACAATGTACCCTTCCTATCAAAAATTTTCTATAAAGATATTCTCAATTTTAAATCATATAGTACCATAAAACGTTCTTGCACAAGAAATCAGTGTACATTACCAGGAGTTTAGACGTCCAGATCAATATAAATTGCTAGTATTTTTTTTTTTAAGAAAAGTTAATTCAGAGGATGTGAACAATTTTCTTGGGCATCAAAAAATAGCAAAAAAGTCCTTCAGTAATTAGAACATTTCAACTGAACAGGGAATAGGAATCTTTTGTTCAAAACTATGTTGCATATGTCCTTAATTGTATGTCAACATTTGATGATATCTAAGTGACACATTCTCCATTACTTATTACAGGGTGCAATAACGGGATTGTTACCAACAGCATTCCTTAAAATGATGACCTTCAGCATGATGAACAAAGCCAGGAAAGCTTACTTAAAAAAACTGGCCAACAAGAAGGAATAATGTTAATCAAGTCAATAGCATGCAATTATGTAGTTGCTCAAGTTTTTTAATAATTCAGTTTCAAGATGCTTCATCTACATTTCATTGCATGATGCCAGTATATATTTGTACATGTGCTATTTTTCAGAGGATTGACATATATGCATATGTGCATAATCTATACATAAACTCTAAATTATTCTTTGCAAACATGTATGATTGTAATTTGCTGTCAAAAATGCATTAAAATCAATGTAGATGAAATCCTCAACATCAGCTAGCCATGCAATACATAATGTATTCACTAAATAAGATAAGGTCTTAAAAAAAATAAATATTTAAAATTTTCTATTCTGTATTTGTTGTTTTTTATTTTATTTCTGGACTGTTTCTCAACGTATGATATGCACTCCATCTGTATGGATTTATAAAATTCAATTGAATTTTACAAGTATAACTAGTACACCTTGAACATCATGAAGAGCATGATGTTCAAGATGTGTTCAGGTGAACTTTGAAGAAGTAAAAGCATCTCAGGAGCATACCATTCTAATTCCCCGCTTTACAAACAGAAGAATTTAATCACACTGATTTAACATTGAACATTGCATTCTGAAAGCAATATGCTTTCATCAAATAACAGAACACATTCTTACCTTCAAGCATTGTGGGTGAAGGCAGAACCTAACCCCCCCCCCCCAACACAAGTGCGTGCGAAAAATAGGATTATAGGATTTTTGAGTAGGGTTTTTTCACAGTTTTATAAATAAGCTACTAGTATTTGTTTTCTCTGGTTGATCTCCAAAATGATACTTCATGTACAAGCCTGCATTTTGTTAACAGGGTTATGACTTATTTAATAATATAAAAACAATATATTAACAGTGATTTAAATAGTCGGAAATTGTGTGTCAAAATAAAATTTCTAGTTTGCCTAGGACCTTAACCCCTTGCTTTCTCCTGGGCATTACCTTTGACCAGTTTGGAACCTCGGCGGTAACCTAAGAATTTCTATCCCATGTAAATTTCAACAGTCGATGAAAGCTGTGTAAATTTCAGATGCTAATCATGTAACGTCATGAAGGCCACGCCTTACTGAAAGTCCAAGCTTGCCTGAGAATTGTCCTATATACTTTGAATATTGAAAATATTGTATGGAAGTGAAACGATCTCAAGGAAAGCTATTGTGTTATTTTCAAAACAAAATCGATATGCATCTGATAGATTAAAAAAATTTCCTGACCCTGGAGGCTTAGTTCTTTTATGGCTCAATAGCAAAATCCTGCAAAACGTTTTTCAGTGAAATTTTTTGGTTCAGGGAGCAGTACGAGGCATGTTACCTGGTGGACTGACCAAAATGTTGACAGCGAGCAGGATGCACAATGCCAGAAATATAAATCTGAAGATGGCAAACAAGTAAGAATAAATATATGAAGGAAATATGTAGATGGAATGAAATCTTCATAATTTAATTTAAACAAGCTTCATCTATTTCTTACTGACCACGCATGGGACAGTTCATTTCAAATTACACTGATGTGAATGTATCAAATTTTCAGACTTTATATTTGTAAATGCATATTCAATTAATATATGAATGAAGTGAAATGTCCAGTTTCTATACTGAGAGGAATTCCAACATAATGAATTTGCAGCATTTGAACAGATACTGTGTTAGAGATTTCTTTATAATAAACTAAAAGAGATGTTTATTTTGAAATAAATTCAATGTACAAAAAAATGTTTTTAAAATTAAAGAGTCATGGTATATTTCAAGTTTTCTTGCACATCACAGTCATTTATTATAATAATTTATAAAGATGGAATGTGCAAATAATTAGCAATTCTGAGCAAGATTATGTCTTATATAAAGAATTCAAAATGTACTTCAATTTATCCAATTTGCACAAACAAGTATTAGATGGACTACCCCTGTATGAATTTCCTGATATTAATGTTTGGTAAACATCATGAACTTTGTGCTCCTTTATTTTCTAAGATAAAGAAAACTCAGAAGTGATTTTAAGTTTTATTTCAAAATATTGAATATCTTAAACTAAACATAGAACACTTATTTCAATAGTTAAACTTGTATGTTCTTTGAATTAAATTCATGTACAAGTAAAAAAATTTTTTAACTTTTTTGGAATAACAATAACAAAGTAATATAATTCAGAGGATTTTAAGTCAAGAATCTTCAACTGCTACATCATCCTGAAGCACACTTTGTGCATGAGCCTTTTTAATGTGTGTTTTTCTACTAACATTGTGGTTAAACCTAAGCCCACAGTATTCACAGGCAAATGGTCTTTCTCCAGTATGAACTCGTGCGTGGGTCTCCATGGCATACTTAGATATAAACTTTTTGCCACAGTAGTTACACAAGTGATTTAAGATATTCTTGTGAGTTAGTAAATGTCTTCGATACGAGGACATACTTTTGAAACTTTTTCCACAATCATTGCAGGGTACTTTTTTACCTCCATGTAAAAACTCCAAATGGCGTTTCAGACTTACTGCAGTAGAATACATATTGCCACACAAACTGCACTGGTAATTTCTGGTATTTGGTTCGTGTTTCTTAACATGAGATTTATATTTACGTAGCTCCAGAAACTCTCCACAATAAGCACACAGTCTCAACCTAGTGTTATGGTATTCCTTATCATGTTCCGCAAATTCATGCTGACTCATGAACTTCTGCCCACAGTGACATTTCCATTCCAATTTACGAACGATATACCCCGTCTTAGACTCGGGATCCTCAAAGACAAACCTACCAGTATATGGATCATTAGACTCTGCTTTGACTTTAGTTTCTTTAACTCTTTTCTCCTTTGCCTTTTGAGCACCTTGCCTTAAAGCTTCATACCTTTTCAGATTGCTAACACTACAGAATTTTCCAGTCTTAGGATTTCTAATCATACATCTATAAAGATACACCTTCTTCACTGGTGCCTGCTCCGTTTCCTCTTGTGCCCCTCCCTCTTCCTGTCTAGATTTTTCCTCCTCTTCTTGTCTCAATTTCTCTTCCTCTTGTTCTTTGGATTCTTTCTCCTCTCTTGCCTGCTGCAACTTCATTAAAGCACTGCTAATCCTCCTGTTTTCTCCTAATTTGAAAGATACAAAAAAATATTATACAATTATAGCCTTTTGATGAGGTCAATCCCTAGATATATAGACCTTAGAGAAAGCATATCAACTGAGCACGAAGTGCGAGGTCGATATGCTTTCTCTAAGGTCTATATATCTAAGGATTGTACCGAATCAAAAGGCTACAATTGTTTTATTATTTTTTATCAGTCAATAAGAAATGTCTTAAAATATTTTTTCTAATACTCAGTACCTTCACATATAAGGCATTGTTATGTCATATGCATTATGACGTCACAGATGAAGTATCTGTTTTTAGAAACATCAAGTTTATAAATACTATTGTGACATCAGCACTATTGTTGCTTCACAGAAGAACGTTATCAATTTTAGAAACAGTGAGTTTATAAATTTTTAAAATAGAAACATCCAGTCCATACCACTTTTATACTTGATCATGTGATCTAGTTTGCTCCAATTAGATAGATGGAACAATATAGAAAAATAATAATTTAAAATATTTCATTTTGAATATTTCCATACAAGTATATTTGTACCCATGAGAATTATGGGATGCAAATGCCCCTGGCATACTTTACACGTGTGCAAATCTTGCGATTTGTTATCCTCTCTTACATCAGTGAACAATTTGGTTTTGTATGAAATTCTTCAATTTGTATACTTTAAAAGTTTTCAATCCAGAAATTAAAACATGAAATGCATGGGAGAAAAATTTTAATTTTCACTCAATAGTACTGTTAAAAAGAAGTAATAAAATATCTCACGTCACTGTCTTTTTTTGCAATCAACTTGTAATGAGAATACTTCCATGATCATTGTATAGAAAAGATAGCCATAATTTTTAGAAAGTAGGTCAATATGACTTTCTTATAAGTAACAAACCAATGGGTTCAAAGATGCACAAGATGGACAAAGTTTGATAATTAAGGTCTAGCAATGTCCAAAATATTAATCTAAAAAAATTTAAAATGAATATCAGCAAATTTTAAAGAGTTAGTTGTATAAGTAAACAGTCACCTTTGCCTTGTTCAGGATCCTTATTGTTAGGTAGTGGCACACAATACATGTGATCTCCTACATTACATGTATAGAAACCTGTATCCTCATCTTTATCTGTGCTATTTTGATCTTTCTCTGTCTCATCATCCATGTCTTCTTCTGTTTGAAATGTAAAGCCAAAAATAATTTACACTTTCAAGGTAAGATATCTAGATCCTACTGATTGCAATGTATGAATTAATGTTTGTTATGGCTAGGCCAGCATATTGTTCAATACCGTTGTGGCTATATGTAGAACTACCTAGCCGCTAGGATCTTGAAGCAGCCCAGATAAGCAGGAAAATAGTTCCCAATAATACACAGAGGCCCCATATGAATTAAAGTTTCTTTTACATGAGGTACTGTATAAAGGGAAATTTTCGCCCCCATTTTATTTTCGCCTCTTTTGACCTACTCTCATTTGGGCGAATTTAAAATGGGGTGAATTCAAAGAATACAGTCTAATTTCTTAAACAAAACTATAATTGGGCAAATTTAAAATGGGGCAAAATTGTTTGCAAGTGTGAAAGGGCGAAAATAAGACGGGGCGAAAATAACCCTGTATACAGTATGAGTATTCTACCTTCAGCTGATTCCTCCTCGCTGTCATCTGGTGTTTCATTGCTTTCATCATCGTCATTCTCTTGGCTGGTATTGGTCCCCACTTCAGCATTTCTCTGATTCATTGTACCATTCTCTTCCTCTGGCTCCTCCCAGTCCGGTTCCTGTTTAATAACCAGGTCATCGTTGAACTCTGTACTGTGTAGACTCTCTTCAATAGTAGAGCTTGCTTCACCTATACCCTGGTCTTGTATATTACACTCCTCTGTGTTGGTCTCTGGAAAACATATTATCAAAAGTTACCTGATGTCCTGTAGAAATTAACATTTTCTGTACACTGATGCTTCATTTTGTTATTTAGAAAAGGAAGAGTCAGGAGAATAAAGCTAAAATTTGATTTTTTTGGAAAGAAAATTATTGTATTTTGTAATGACCAATATCTGTCTCTGTCATAAAACTTAAATGGAGAAATCTATAATTGTCCACTCTCTTCAAAATACATGTAATGAAAAGTCATTAGACAGCCTATCATCCAAGGACTGTATTACAACAGTTTTCAAATTGATCCTTTAAACAACAATCCTAAAATAGTTATAAGTACAACCTTAATACATGTGAACACATGTACCACAGTACATGTAAGTACAAGAGCCACTGTGGCAGTACCTGTTTCCATTTGATGTTCCTTTTCTCCACTGCTTGTCTGAGTCTCTAATTCTTGACCTAGGCCGTTATCTCCCAAATTCTCCAGATCCCATTCTGGTTCCTGCTTTACTTGAAAAACTTCTGAAAAGTGAACAAATATTCATTCAAACTTTTTAAACAACTCTGAACATTATGATAGTACACATGACTAATGTGAAATGAATACTTTAGTATTCACTGTTATGAATACATGAATACTTTAGTATTCACTGTTATGAATTTTAGCTGGATACTTATGTGCATGTATGTGTTTAAGTCATCCATTTGATAAAAATGATATTAAAGACATCCACACCACATGAGGCTTTTTTAAGACCTTTTGAAATTTAACTGACAAATTTGGTAACCAGTGGCAATTAAATAAGAGAGCTCCTGAGTATCTTTTATTGGGATTGTTTAGGCCTTAAGGGCTTCATTCTCAATTTAATGTATTTCTCCCAAAATTTTATTTGAAACTGTAGTCAGGTATTTAATAACTAAACTTGCTATTCATACAACTAAAAAATTAAGTTGTTAACAAAGTCGAAAGATCAGAAACACACTACATCATGATTTTGAATCATAATGCTCTATCCAAAAATTTCCAAAAACTTACTTATCTACCCAATCCTTTTCTCAAAATATGGTATGAAAGTCTTGAATTTAAAAAAAAAAAACAATAAATGTATGCTTACCTTCTGTCGGCTGGCTATTTTCATTACATGGCAGCACTGGGTGTATGAAGGAAGGTGATTCATTCTGTAACGAGAATGTATTGACCAGAGGATTGCTGACATCTATATTCTCCTCTGTTGTTTCCATATCGGAATTTTCTTCATTTTGAATGTCTTCATCCTGGTGACTTTCCAGATTGTTTTCATTGAATTCAACACCAGAGTCCTCCAAAGAAATCTCCCTCCTTGTTTCAGCATGTAAAAATGTCACTTTCTCTTTCTCCTGATCACCTCTAAAAAAAGTTCGAACCAATTCGTTTTTAGTTTCTCTTTTCCTGGCCTGTTCATCTTTTGACTTGGGCAGACTTTCAAAGTATGACCGCTGTTTTGGAAGTGGACCATGTTTACAAGGATGAATTGTCTTTCTGGTTTTTGCAGGTTTATTAACCTGAGAATATGGTTTCAAGCCTTTAGTTGATTCTCTGTTTGGTTTGCTGCTAATGACTGAAAAGAAAGCATACATGAATATGAAAGAAGATTTCATCCCAAATAAACATAAAGCCTACCATTCTATGGACTTGAATAACCTGTCAATTTTAGTCAGTCAGTTGGTTAGACTGTCAGTAACATAGTACACATACCTAATAGAACTGTTCTTTATATAGGTCTACTACCCTTGCAAAGAAACTTAGAAAAGGGGTCTATTTCAAAGCTGAAAATCTTAACTTTCTGGAAATGTTATAATCTTGATAATTAGGTGAATACTGTAACACCCCTATAATGAGTAAAATGTCAAAAGAAATTTCAATGCAGCCTTTAAGAAGAAGCAGAAGACACCAAAATACTGCAGTTTTTCAAGCCATAACTGTATATAGTTAGTTTGTTTTATACCCCTGAGCAGAGAAGATTTTCAAAGAATAAATGCATTTTCAGTATTCAATAAATAGAGCCCTACTCTAAACACTGTCTGGATTACTTTCAAAGCTTCATACTAATGACTTTTCATACCAATATCATGTAGAACCGTGTTTTCAAGGAGGGGTCACCGTTTACTTGGGGGGTGAGGGTCTAAGGTCACTTTTACTTGGTTTAGTATATACATTTACTGTAATACCTCTGCAAATTTCATGGGGAGCCCGGACACCCACGACCCCCCTCTCTAGATCCGCGCATGATTTAGCTTGTTATTTTTCATTTCTCTTTACTTGAAGGATACCATATGAATTAAGATGACCCCCCCCCCCAAAAAAAATCATGTTTGACACCTCATTCTTATCTAACTTCCTACTGTAGACAAAATGATTAGACACTCTTTCATCATGATTGGATAATGGCATTATTAGAAGACTAAACATGCTTATGAAACCAAAATTTCCCCACGGCCAAAAATATCACAGTTCAATCAGCTTATTTGTATTTTGCCAAGGAGTAATGACAGTTACCAAGTATTTCCTTGCTGTTTCCTGGTATGATCTTTACAAGTTTCTTTTCCTCGGTTTCTATTTCAGAAGACCTCTCAAGGGGATAAAATACTTTCTGTGCTTTTTTTAATTTTAGAGCTGCAGCTTTCATCGCATTGTAGAGTGTCTTCTTTTCTGGAAATTTACAATAAACTAAAGAGATTGATGGCCCATCATCAGGTACCCATGGGTGATATTGTTTTAAACTCATCACAGGATCAAGACAAGATCACTCGTGGGAAATTGACAATGGGTGAGCCTCATTCAAGGTGCATATTAATTTTGTGAGGGTAACATGAAAAGATATTTCAATGTACTAGTACATGTACCTTGATTCTTTGATAAGAAGTACTGGTAAATTTATGTGGTGAAAGTAAGAGTAAATTTTTAATTTTTTTTTTATAAGTGTACAGAATTGATACCCTTTACTCTATACATGTGTATATAGCATGATAATTAGTGTTGATACATTCCAACTCCATCTTATTCCAACAGCTAAATGAAAAAGTTATCATTTTAAGCTCACTCTCATATTTAGAAAATTTTTATTTATGTTCATGCACAGCCTACAATACAATGTACCTCACCCAGTAAAAATTTCAAGATATTCTTATTATAAAACTTTTACTTTCGATGACAAAGTACCAAAACAAGAGGCCCGAAGGCCTGAGTAATTTTTTGCCTTGCTGTTCTTGCAGATTGGCAATTAATTTGTATCAATGTCATGTTTTGATAAAAAAAAATGTATCAGTGTCATATGTTTTGATAAAATAATTCTGAAGCTAATTCAAGACAACTTCAAGATGACAGCATGCAATTGATTGCTAATTACCAGTAAGCTTCCTATTCCAAAATTTTTCACTCCGATCTAGAATTGTTTCTATAGTATATGTGTACTTATTAGCAGATTGTTTGCAGTTGAGCTAAATTCGAAGTATGAATGAAAGAAACACAGAAGGACTGAAAATTCAGGGGCATAGCAAACATTTTATGCACCTGCAATATTGAATAATTCATGGTGGGGCATAAGAACTAAGAACATGAAGAAGCATACTGAAGCCAGAGCACAGTAAATATTCAACAATTAAAAAACTGACAGCAAGGGTCCTTATTAAGATGGATAAGCATCTAAGGGTGAGATGAATATTTCCTAACTGACAGAATAATGCCATTATCCAACTACTGGTATCTTGAAGAATTAACGGTAACCCTTCTTCAAGTTCATATACATACATGTATATCAATGTTTATATTAATTTTTTCCCCTTAAAACCAGTTCAACTAAACATGTACAAATTTAAGCAAATATTTAGATCTTCATTTCATACAAAGCCATTCTTCAGTGAATGCAAACATAATCCTAAGAGAACAAACAAGAGGCCCACGGGCCTTATAGGTCACCTGAGTATTGTGCAACAACTTTCAAACAATTAAATTTGGTTCGTGTTTTAAACCAGAGGCCATGAAATTCGCACTTCACAATTTTGAAAGAGGCACCATTGCTTATCATAATTACAGACTTAGCATGCTTACTCTATTTACTTAATACCCAAAGGTAGATCAGTACCAAAGAGCAGATTTCAAAGCATTAATTTATTTTCAGACTATGCCCCCCCCCCCCTTCCCTTGACCCAGGGGGCATAAAAAATAACCATTTTGTCAGATGCACCTTTCTTCATCATAAATATATATACTTGGATCATTGGCATAAAACCCAGGAGCAATGGAAAAGATTTTCAAAGAATAAATACTAGTACATTTTCACTATGTAATCAATAGAGACCCGCCCTAACACCAGAACCCCTGATCCTGGGGCCATAAAATTCACAATTTTGGAAGAGGCACTCTTGCTTATCATAACTATATACTTAGTTAGTTTATTTAATACCCAGGAGCAGAGAAGAAGATTTTCAAAGAAATAATGCATTTTCACTATCATTTTCACAAATCAATAGAGCCCCGCCCAACACCAGAACCCTTGACCCTGGGGCCATAAATTCACAATTTTGGAAGAGGCACTCTTGCTCAACATAATTATGTACTTACATCGTTTATCTAATACCCTGGAGCAGAGAAGAAGGTTTTCAAAGAATTAATGCATTTTCACTATATAATCAATAGGGCCCCGGGCTAACACCAGAACCCCTGACCCTGGGGCCACAAAATTCACAATTTTGGAAGAGGCTCTCTTGCTCATCATAACTCATCATAACTATGTACTTAGTTAGTTTACTTAATACCCAGGAGCAGAGAAGATGATTTTAAAAGAAACCATGCATTTTCACTATATAATCTATATAGCCCCGCCCTAGCACTAGAACCCCTGACCCTGGGGCCATGGATTTCACAATTTTGGTAGAGGACTCAATGCTCATTACATTCATGCCAACAGTTTGCCTGCTTGATGTCCAGGAGTAAAGAAGAAGATTTTTAAAGATTGCAATAATTTTAGTGGTTTTGGCCCCACCCCTCAGGCCCCAGAGGGGCGGGGACCATAAAATTCAAAATTTTTGTTCCCCTTCACCCATAGATGCTGTATACCAAATTTTGTTGAAATTGGTTCAGTGGTTTCAGAGAAGAAGCTGAAAATGTTCAAATGTTAACACACGATGCACGAAAACGGATATCAATAGGTCACCTGAGTTACTCAGGTGACCTAAAAATTAATTTAGAAAATATCACAAATTACATCAAAAAACTTTCTTCATAAACTTTTCCATTTTGGTATAAAATCCAGAATGTGAGAACTATCAACTGTAAATCTAATACATCACAATACATCTCAGATATCTCAACAGCTCTGTAGTTCAATACTTTAAAATTTTACCTTATATCCTTGTTTCCTGTTCATTTTCTACCTTTAATTCATAATACTCCACCTAAATTAAACTTAATCACAAGACGATAAGTAAATACCTTGAGGTCTTTCTCTGCAGAATCTAAGGAATGCAGCGAAGACATTTGTTCCTGCTATTTGAGACAGTTTTTCTAAAAGGAATTTCCTGCCAAATTCTGTTCCACTGACATATGTTGTTCCTGCCACTGCATCGACAGACACAGCAAAGTATTCTCGACCTGGCCTTAAAATGTGCTCCATCTATCAAAAAAAACAACAACACTGTAATGACTGTATATGTATGTATACCTCTCATATTTTTCAGAAGTATCTTCTAATAAAATGAAGATTGAATATATAAAATATTATGAATAGTATGAGGCCAAGCATAAAAACATAGGTAATCAGAGATTACCAAGCTCACCTCGACGAATGTTATCAGTGTAAGTAATGCAAATCTCACATCATATTTTCTTAATATTTACTAGTATTTATCCCAACAACAATATTCTTGCAAGTTGTGTTTAACCCCTTACATGGCATATACACATTTCTATGCATGTAGCGTGAAAAACATGCAAAGTGTTAACAAATATTCAAAGATTTGTTAATACTGCAGATATCAAGGACTTCAAGTTCATTTGGATTGACCTGTTTCCAAAACTTTAACCTGGTCTCTTGTTTGGAAAATATAAGTCAGATCCAGCATCTGAAGCAAGTCTGGTAGTGTCCATCCCTAGATGCATCATCCATGCAAGTTTGGTTCAGGTAGGGCTTATAGTTACTTGGGAATGAAAATGTAGGTCAGATCCAGCATCTGAAGAAAGTCTGGTAGTAGTGTCCATCCCTAGATATATCATCCATGCAACTTGCAAGTTTGGTCCAGGTAGGGCTTATAGTTCCTTGGGAATGGACCCGCTCCAAAAACTTTACCTGGGACACCAACGCCAACGCCGGGGTATAGCATAGCCTCATCTCCACTTCGTCGAGGTGAGCTAAAAATCTTTGTTTACAGTTGCAGACTTATAATTTTTAGAGTGGGTCGGTAAGTAGGTATGATTTTTTTTATATTAATAGATTTTATCCCCTAGGACTCGGTGAATATTGTACTCCTCAGATGGCTAAATCATTGTATTGACCAAAAAAAAAACACAGCAATAATTGTATAATGTCAGTTGTTAGTTTCAACTGCAATGGAAACAAACATCGTCATTGTCTGAAAATAATGTCACAGCTAGCATACAGATGTAAATATTCAAGACTACGACATGCACTTTTTGGAGATCAAGCAGCTAGGGGTTGGAGAAAGCTACAAGCAGACTTTGAACCATGGCTTAGGATGATGCACCCTTGCTAATAATGTCAATAATGTATGCCCACTGTTCAAGAGATTGACACCTCGGAAGTTCTTAAACTTCTTGAGGATTCTAACAACCCGTAAGGTTGCAGGAAAAACTAATGTTAATTAACCAAAAGATAAAATTATTCCTTTTAAAGTATTTTGAAATAATTTTGATGCTAATTTGATAATATTTATAGCAAAAATAACAATTTTCATTTTTTGCACTGTACATTTATATCCCATTTGGAATATTATACACCAGAAAGCTTTTTATATCCCATTTGGGCAATTGTCCCCCAATCTGCAAAATGTAATCAGAAAAGCTCTCAACTTATCTTGAGCCTTCTGCTCCTGAGATCTAAAAAAAGTGCGTTAAAAGAACATAATTAAGCTATATGTATTCTGAATAATTTTCTAATGCTTTAAAACTAATTCAAGATATATAACTTATAGCTGCAGATCTGTAGCTCTCCGAAAAAAAATATATTGATAGACCGGAGAGCTACAGTGCCACCCATTGAAAAAACTGTATATTTATTGCGCACAAAAAAGTGTGCTCGGTTCTCGATTTATTTCTCCATGTTTTTCAAACTGTAATCTCAAAATATTACTAACCGTGTGTTCCTAAAATATTCTTTCGCTTTTTCCACAACCAAAAATTCCTCATAATTGTTGTTAATAGTCCTCCTGACCCTGATATTGTAATCATCGAACATTTCGCTTATTTATACTGCCATTTTGGTTTCAAAGATAATTCGGTCCAATATGCTTCGTTCGGATGTCAACTACGAGAGTACTTGATAGCAGATAAAGGAATTTTTTGAAATCTTTCCTCATTTGCAATTGAGGTAAGAATTTGGAAGAATTAATTAAGAACCGAGCGCACTTTTCTGTGCTCAATAAATATACAGTTTTTTCAATGGGTGGCACTGTAGCTCTCCGGTCTATCAATATATTTTTTTCGGAGAGCTACAGATCTGCAGCTATATAACTTATAACCTAGGAGATTGTACTGAATCTGCTAATAATTAAGTGAATGATATTTTCCTGAGTTGTTTTCAATTTCAGATGAGTACACTAAAATGTGATTTGTTGCACATCCTGAGAAAAATCCTGCTAAAATGAAGTTTGATTATCATTTTGATACCCAAACGAAGCAATTCAGGTAGGTAAATAGAGCACTGTTTGAATAATTTAAGCTACGTAACAAAATCTATTGATTGTACAAGAAAAACGACTGGAAAACGTTTGGACTGGAAATGATACAATTACATATTATATGCTTATGCAGAGATTAGGGCTGGGCAATAATATCGATATTTCAATATATTGCAATACAATGACAAAAAATATCGTATCGCAATACGATTTTGTAATATCGATATATTGGCAATATGCTAATATTAAGGAATTTTGTCATTAAATATAGAAATGGACTTATAAAAGTTTGTTATTATGCCAAACAGTAAGTCAGATGTTGTTTTGTGGTAAAATTTCAGAGCATAACTAAAATGAAATCAACAAGATTTTTTTCCGTATTGGTTACTTATCATAGTTGTGTACATTCTGCATGTAAATTAAAGTAAATATAGTAAGAAAATGCCATTTTTATTACATTAAAAATATCGCAATACATATCGCAGTACATTTTAAAATATCGCAATATATCGCAATACGAATTCTCGGGCCAATACCCAGCCCTAGCAGAGATGCATATTCGATTACACTGAATAATTTTGCATACTTTGTTTCGAGGTCTTCGTCACTTAACCAACGTTTTTCTCTTTTTTCTTCACAACATTCTCATATCATCTGCAAAAAAGTACGAAACTTGGAGCAAGCCATGAAAAACCTTGTAGGAATTTTTTGAATCTCGATCCCGAGGAGTGTTTCATGAAGTAATGAATACACTTTCGAAAATTAATGAAATGTTATGTTAATTGGTCCTTAAGGTAGGATTCTTCTCATATTTCTAATATTTCAAAATTAATGAAATTTTCACAGAATCAAGAAGACAATATCAGTAAGTGATAGTATCAGTGAAATTAAATTTGACCGTTTTATATTAGAGGCAAGGTCAGGTCAAGGTCATTATCTTTTTCCTTGACATTAAGAATAAAAAAATACTGTTGCCGATCATGTGATACCTACTTCTATTTAAAAAGTTTAAAGATTGTTCTTTTTGCATAAAAACATATTACTATATCGGGTCTATAGCATATATTACCAAATTTACATAAATAATTTAACTTAACTGGATATTGGCTAATCCGAATTTTCTCTGTTTTTCATCATTTTTTAGGATATATTAGTTATTTTCATATGCTTCCTATATTTAACTTTTTCTTATTTTCACATATGATAAAGTAGTCTTATAAATGTACAAAATGATACAAAAACGAAAAGTTTTGATCGTTTACTAAGAGAGAAAAAATACTTTTTATGGATTTTTGGCTCAGATCTGCACTTTAATAGGAAGCGTTTAAAGGCTAAAAAAGTTCTAGTTTGTTTGGAAAATCATATTTATTTGATATATTTTGAAAGTTTAGTCCCTCATTATTAATTTAACTTACATTTGAAAATTTCTCCAAGTCTTCGATTGTGTACAAATTATAACTAAATTCATTGTTCTATTATAATTTTGAGAGGCAGAAAAGAAGACATTTTCATACGCCACCATTCCGCCAAAAATATAGTCCCTGCTAGTTTTCAAACGCAGTTTACCATTTCTATTTAAAGTTGTACAATTGTGATGAGGAAAGAAAAATATGGTCTTTTAAATTCCTTACACCTCAATATATAAGACATATAAGCAAATATACTTTGAATGTTTCATCGAGTCAGAAACCAGAGAAGAATCCTACCTTAATTCAATTATTAGTTGTAATGTCCATTAAATTGTCTACAGGTAGGCCTACATGTGTCTGTGCCAGTTATGGGAAGGACTATGACATTCTTCACCCCCCACCACTTTAATTATTTTTTTAATTTTACAACTATAATTTAAAAATTATTTTTCTTTAAATTTTTTATCTCCTACTACTTCATAACATTTCTTTAAAAAAATATTGTTTAAATTGCATCCCATACGCAAGTTTTAATAACAATCATTTATACCCTAAATAAAAAATATAAATGTTAATTAGTATATACATATTTTAGGTACTTTTTTTAGATGGTGATAACTCATAAGGTAAAAAAAATACTAAAATAATGTTGAAAAAAAATCTAACTGTGTATTTACTGGAGGTGAAAGTGACTTACTTAGTCCCATGGTGATGGCCAACTCCATGAGGGATCCAAGTGAGTATTGTGTCTCAGGACATATTTTCCTTCATATTTTAGCATAAAATTTTGAAAACTCTTGAGATTCTTATGGGGGTCTGTGTGTCCACCCAAGCATCTTTTCCTTATTTTGCTTGATAAATAGTTGGAATATCTGATATTTGCTAGAATTCCAGATCTGTCACCTACAGTTTTGAATTATTTAGTCACTTAGGCTGAAAAAAAATCAATTGGGAAAATATCTTATTTACCTGTTTTATTAATTAAAGGGATAAAAAAAAAATGATCATAGTATTTTACCGTAGGAAATGTGATACATGAACTATTTATAATCATATTTAATAGTGTAAATAAAAGTTCACAAATATATTGAATAGTGTAGATAAAAGTTCAGAAATAACTAACGAATATTCATTTTTCAGAAAATTATATTATATTTATCTATAATAAAAAATCTATTATCATCATAATAGAATAAACTTTGCATGTACGAGGGCTGTTCGAAAATTATTGAGACATTGTGTATATTTTGCTTTCTAATGAACGTCTTTCGGTGAAAATTTGCATATACGTTTGACAAACACTAAGAATCAATAAAAGTAAAAAATATTTTACAAATATTAAATATTTTCTGTACAATGGTATATAAATGCGTCAACAGTAGCGGTACCCGGAGCAGTCTCGAAATCAGATATTGAAAATATGTAACACCAACGTTCTAACTCTTCGTGGACCCATAATAAGAGCGAAAATAATTACGTTTTTGTGTATAATTTTTCAGCTTTAATTCAAATTCATATTGTGCAATTTTATTAGAATTTTGATCAGGAATAGGGAGATCATTAAAAAAAATTAAGCGTGTTAGAGAAATTTGCTAAGAACGAAAAAATGGTTTTTCACGTCAAGGGTGGAGCAGCGAACATACCTAAAATTTTGTGTAGCGCAATGTAGAACTCTTTTCCAGACACAACGACCTGCTAAAACAATGACAACGAGAAAAAATAATGTGCAAGGGTTTGTTATTTCAGTGGAATACATTTTCTTTTTACAATTAACTCAACGTAAAAATCAAAGCTCCGGACGACCATCATTTATTACGTATGGTATTTAAAATATCGTTACGGTATTAATATCATTGACCCGCGTTGCAAAAATTGGCACTGCATGCTTTTAAGTCATCTTTTCCCACAAATGAAAATTTTACACTCGGATAGCAACAGCATACATTTTTAAGGAATAGTTTAAGAAAAGAGACTGTTTGATTTTTGTACTGTTATATGTAATTACAAAGAAGGAAAAAGGTTAAACACTTCCCGATCGTTTTACATGCGAAACCATCTCCGGCTGACGTGACGTTAAATGACGTAGTGATGCTACTCCAGGTCGATAGACAAATGCATGTTTATCATTTCACTGAATCTTATCTAATTATCATAGGAATTAGAAATTTTGCATAAGTGTTTTATTCGTTCTTTATAAAATGTTGATGAATTTTCATGAAAATATCTCCATCCTTTATGGAGTAAATGTAATTGTCTCAATCATTTCTGAACAGCCCTCGTACATGTACATGTATTTATGAAAAAAATATTTTAAAAAAAAGAAAGATCTTTTCAATGAACACATGCTAAAAACATGATGGCACATATAAACTGAAGTTAAACAGTTTGTGGGTAAATAATCATGCTACTTCTATTTATTTTATAAAGAAATATTTGAAAGACCAGTGTAAGACTAGGAGTCATTTTTTTTTTATTTCTGTTTATATATTTTCCAGCGATCCCTATAACTTTGTTCTATGCAAAGTATACTTGTGTCTTGTCCTTTTGTTAAACTGGATGAAGATGATAAGTCTGAATTTTCATTGACCCATCCACTGTTACTTAGAAAGTCTGCTAGCTGAATTCTCACATTACTTCCAAAAATTTCTAGTTCCACATAATTGGATCCATTTTTACATTCCAATCTTTCTGCTGCCTCTTCACCAACAAGAGTTGAGGGCAGTGAAAGTAGATCTTCTTTCCTTCCCAGCAGAATAGTTTTCACACGAGAATTCTTTGAGGGCATGGTTGCAGTTGTACCTGTTCTCACTTCCACAATTTCTATGTAATGAACTTCCAAGTTTTCTTTCATTGCATGTTGTCGTGACGATGTGAGGCTGGTTATCAAGGGTTCAATTTGGTAAAAATCAGCCTCATTTTCAAGTAAATCATAATCAGAAAAGTGTTGTGGCAAGCAAAGTTTTCCAGACCTACAAAAATTCAGGATGTATCTGAACATTTGCCCATCTCTGTCTATGAAGAAGTTTCCATCCTGATCCACTCTGGATGGGATATCACCTTTAAACATCACTCCCAGCATTGAGTCTGGATACCTGACAAGGGTAGACCTTGTGGTAGTGTAAATATGGCCACCAACATTGAGTCTTAAGATCTCTGATTCTTCCATAGTTTGCAGGCCAGTTTTTTTTCCACTAAAAACGAAAACAATAGCGTATTTGGAAGAAAAAAAACTTTATTTAAAATGTTGTTCTTTAAGATTATTGGGAAGTCATTTTTTTAATATCGAGAGAATTTTTCTGATTTAAAAAAATTACTAAAACTGAAAAAGCACGAGGGGAACATTGGGGATTTCATCACAAGGTGTTCATTTACATGCAAGTCATTAAAAAAAAAGTGGATGGTGTCTTTAATATTTGCTAACTGTCCTTTAAATATCAATTACCTGGAAACACTCTTCTACACATAGAAAACTGCACTGCATAGGGCCATGGCCTGTAGTCACAGTAGTGTATGAAAAAGAAAATGAAAACGAAAACAGCTGTCAGTGTCAATCGGAAATCAAAAGGAAAGTCTAAGAAAAAAAATTCTCACCCTATTCCGGAAAAATCAAAAGAGATGTGTGCATGGACTGGAATAAAAAAAACCCACACATTTAATTATCCAAATATAGCTATAAGAAACTTAGATTGCATAACATTTTATACAAATGAAAAAAAATCATCAAAACATGCAAATTTTAAGTACTTTGTATACTGAAAGCGATAAGATAAGATATGTTTTATTACTAATTCAGTGCCCAAATGAGCATAAAGAGAACAAACTTACAAGAGAAAGGCCTCAAATATAGTTGACAGAAAAAGGAAAAAACAAAACAAAACATTTAGACATACATGAACCTATATAAACATGTACATGAAATAGACATCTATTTAATCTCGATATCTAGCTTCACATCACAGTCAGCTATTTTTTCCCAATAAAAATGGATCTCGCTTACCTTGTCATGAGTCTTTTGCAAAATTAAAATACTGAATGTATTCAAATACTCCAAAGTTGAGATTAAAAAGATCCGGTTGATAATGAGTAGTTTTTGCAATCAACCCTTCCAACAAGCTGTCGGATGTCTCATAGGTAGCAACTGTGGCCCATTATTGGCAGACCTACATGTAGGCTTACATGTATGAAGCATATTTTTTTTTGGTACAATTCTCTGTTATCCTTGGACTTACAGTAGGGCATGGCATATCTCGACCAGTCTTTCGTCCACTGTTGAAATATACATGGGATAGAAATTCGGTCGAGATTCGTTGCATGCACATGCATCTTTTTTACTCGATATACTAGTAGTACTAGTAACATAGGCGTTGGAACCGGGTGCAGATAGACATATTATATAAGGCATAAAAAAATTGGGGGTTACCTTTTTTTTGTTGTTATAGCCCCCCCCCCCCCCCTTTCAATTGGCCACTCCACTTTCAAATTGCTTCCGACGCCTATGAGTAAAATATACCATGGAGTCTGACAGATTTGTTTCATATTTGTATGTTTTACAAGAAAACGACGTTAGTAGTTGCCTAACTATAAAAATATGATACACGTGATAATTTTTTTTCTATCGTCATCTTAGTCTCATTCACATGTAACAGTATGTAGCGAAACAGGCCTACTCTTATATTTTATCTCCCCGTTTGTTATACTTACAACAATTTCTAAAAAATACGGCCTCATGCGTCCTCCGGGGGCAAGGAGAGGATAAGTAAATAAGTAATTTCTAAAATGAAACAAACTACAAGTTTAACTGGCAATTTGACGAAACAAAGAAAACAGTCTCGTTTAAGGTCAACTTTTCGTGTTTTTCATACAAATTGTTGGCCAGTTTTAAAAATGATTTTCGTTTTTTCCAATCATGACTAGTACACAGCAGATGTTACTGGTCAACTCGACCTCAATTGGACCTGATCCCACCCCTGAAGTTAAATTATAGAGGCCCGTGTTTGCTCTGGTTTCAAACTGCATTGCTTCAGACTTTTGAGCTTGATTACTGTTTGTTATCTTCAAATATAAATGCTACGTACTGTACCATTTTAGGAGTAATACTAGTATTATAGGATTTGATTACGTGACTATTAACTTCACGTCATATCCCAAGGAAACTCTAAAAATGATATCCCAGTGAGCTTAAAATAAAAGATACCACAGAGTCTGACACACCAGTTTCATATTTGGACGATTTACACGAAAAAGACGTTGATTGGAACCTAGAAACAAAGCTTTCTGATAAACGTGATAACTTTAACTTTTCAATCGTCAACTTCCCTTACATGTACTTATGCAGCAATATACATTAATCGGCTGCATATGTGGCATATATCGCCAAGTTGATTCAAAATGCAAGAGCATGCTCTATATTGGAAATCTCTAAAACAAGGTAAGTACAGTGTATGATGACTTTAAAAGAGACTGCTGATATTCTTGTTTTATCAACTATGACTTAAATTTATCATTTCATAAGTTCTATGGTCGATTCATCGTCTCAAGCCACGGTCCGGAGTCCGCATATCTTTCTCCCAGAATGGGAGAGGCTCGTACATTTTGGCCATGGTTTGCGACGATGAGGTGGAGTTGATGACTTCGTTATCAAATGCAATCTATCATGACAAGGAGGACATGACTGATCGACAGGGGATGCTCATTCCTTCATGACACCTGATCCCATCTCTGATGTTTTAGAGGTCCATGTTTGCTTTTCTGCAAATTTGTATTGTTTAATTGACTTTTGATATTGAATAATGTTCGTTTCCGCCATTTTAAAAAACGCTACGTACAGATTTATTTATATGTATTAAATAAAAAAGAATATAAGTCCCCTTGGCATTAAGAATATCAACATTTTAAGATGTCTTTTATAAAGTATATAAAGATATTTGAAGTGACACTGAAACGACTCTATGTTATATATGGCGTATCTGGAGTAAAAAATAAAAGTACAAGATTAAGGGTAAATTTACATGATTTACAAAAAAATCATTATTTACATTCAAATTCAAATTTTCACCGATTTTGAACTTAAATATTCCCACGTTTCTTTAGTTAAATTGACTTTAATTTTTGTCTGCTATTCAGTTGCGAGTCGAAAATAAATCGGTTATTGTTTTAAATATGTGATATCTATGAAACGAGAAAGATTTAAAATGTGTGCTTTTAATACAGGAAACAAAACAAATACTAGAAAGACCTTAATGTTAATTAGTCTGACCTGATAAAAAATACGCCATATATGACTTTAATTTATCTAAGAACAAGATGTGTTTTGGAAACACTATGCGCCCGCTGGCAACAAAGTTCCAAAACACTATTTCTAGCATATAGGTCACAGTCAAGGTCACAAGGTCAATGGCCTTGGTGTCATTTGAATGAGCTTAATTAGTATTGCATGCACACCAAATATGAGGTCTCTATCTCTCATGGTTCAAAAGTTATAACCAAATATCGAAAAAGTTATTTCTAGCATAAAGGTCACAGTCAAGGTCAAAAGGTCAATGATCTTGGTGTCAATTGAAAGAGCTTTATTAGTGAAGTAAGCATACCAAATATGAAGTCTATATCTTTCATTGTTCAATAGTCATTGCAAAAGTTCGAAAAAGCTATTTTTAGCATATAGGTCATAGTCAAGGTCATAAGGTCATTGACCTTGATGTCATTTGAAAGAACCTTTTTAGTGGAGTATGCATACCTAATATGAAGTCTCTACCTCTCATGGTTCAAAAGTTATGGCGAAGATTAAAGTTGACAACAGACAAACAGATAAACAGACAAACAGACAGGACAAAAACAATATACGCCTCGGATCTATCGATCCGGGCGCATAATAAAAACTTAAGGTTTTGCTTTTTTATTCCCCTAATTTCGTTAGTCCGTTAATAAACATATATTTTTTCTATCTGATCCAGGGAGCTCATGGCACCCAAGGTGAAGATATATTTTTGAGGGCCTCTGAGGAGGCATTACCTCTATATTTCTCCTATTTTATTACTGTAATAAATGAATACAATGGAATAGCAAAAACAAAAAAAACCAAAAAAAAAAAAAAAGAAAAAAAAGAAATACCATTGTACACTACAGATACATGTATATTAAATATGTATAAATTAAAAGAAAGAACATTCTGTTTGCACACTTATTCACTTTATATGTACTTTTTCCAAGTCTCCCTTAATGTCTGTGTCATGAAAACACTATCTGTGGTGACATTTGACGAAGATGAGGAATCACAGTTTTCCTTAATCCATCCTCTGCTGCTCAACATCTCACTCATTCGAATTTTTGTAAAACGTCCATTGATGACTAATTTACCGTAATTTGAACCAGGTCTTGTTTCCAAAAAGCGATCAACAGCACCAAGAGGCAATGTTCTCAAGTCCAAGATACTTCCGTACACAGAAGTACTTGTAAAATATTCATCTGAAGAAATATTTTCATCTTTATAATCAAATACGTTCTGAGTTTTCACTTCCACAATATCTATGTAATGGGCTTCCATGTTATCTTTCTGCTGACGTGAAGATATGATGCTGGTTATTAATGGCTGAATTTGATAAAAATCAGCCTCGTTTTCCAGTAAATCATAATCAGAAAAGTGTTGTGGCAAGCAAAGTTTTCCAGATCTACAAAAATTCAGGATGTATCTGAACATTTGTCCATCTCGGTCAATAAAGAAGTTTCCATCCTGGTCCACTTTAGATGGGATATCACCTTTAAACATCACTCCCAACATTGAGTCTGGATACCTGACAAGGGTAGACCTTGTGGTAGTGTAAATATGGCCACCAACATTGAGTCTTAAGATCTCCGATTCTTCCATGGTTGAAGAATATACTAGTATGTGCTTTAATCAAAACGAAAAATAATTTATGTAAATATTATACTGTAAATGTATTATATTTAGCGTGTACGATATTTGGCGGAAATTGATTTCTGAACAACTTAGCGTAAATTTGATTTAGAGCATTTCTCAGTGTTCCTATATACATATGTGTATATGTGCAAGACATTTAGCGTTGTACTTTAATTAGCGGAAGTTTCACTCCGCCAAAAGCGCTAAAAAGAATACACAGCCAAATGTAATAGGTTTACAGTAGCTTATATGATTTAAACAATTTTTTTTCTTTCTAAATGAAGATACAAAGTATATTTTTTTTAAATGAGATGGAAACTCGAGATTCCTTTTCCTCTTTGCAAGTTTTCTTCTATATTCGAATATTAAAAAAGAATAAGATAAAAGAGAGTATATATATATGTAATTATCATCCAGCAAATTTACTCTTACTTTATAAGATTATATACTAGTACATCAAAGAAGTAATTCCAATGACCACTACAAAACAGGCATAAAATCTTTGACTAACGTACGTATAATTATGTCTTGTAATGAGAAATATATCTGTGAATTATGAAATCTATCGTCAAGTTTAAAGTTTTTTAAAACTTTGTCAAAAATGGGTAATTGGTCAAACTCTATAAGGTCAATGGTAAAAACAAAATTATACCCATTGAAAGGTCTTGTCACAGTCATAACGGATGTGAAGTATGAATTTTTAAAGCGCGCACCCTAGCACCAAATATTCAAAAGTTATGGCCAAACTTAAAGCTCGAAAATTTTAAGTAAAATTGGGCCAAACTCCGAGGTTAAGGTCATAAGAAAAGGTATTGTCACAACGAATACACTTGTGAAATATGAAAGCCATAGTCTCTCCCAATCAAAATTTATGGCAAAAGTTTTTTGTGGACAAACAGACAGACGGACGAACATTATGGAGCAAAATCACAAAATGAAAAAAAAAAAATACATGCCCCATCCTCATTTCCGCGGGAGTTGAGACGTGCAGTTAAGGTAGTCAACAACCAGTTCTTACAGACAGCATAAAAACGATACATTACTGCTGAAAATTACTCAACATACAGTGTAATTATATTCATTGAACGGAAATACAAAACATTTCTTTCGTTTTGGAATGATTACATGAAAAATTTAAATCCATTTACATGATCATTGCGTAAATGTAATCGTGATATAATATACATGTACATGTTAACAAATATAATAATGGTTAGAATTCAGTAATAACAATAAATTTCTTGTTACCTGAAAAACGAATGAACTATCGGATATCTGCATACCTTGGGTACCATGTAGGGAAAAAATTATGTGAGACGTTAGATACCGTTATCAGAATGGCTTTTTCCGGAACCTTGATTATTAAAAACGATATTTAAATAGATCTTTCTTCTAAAACATCTCTTTTCTTTCAGAGTTGGTCTTTCTCCATTTTGTGACATGACCCGGCGAGTTTTCCTTTGAAGTCAAGCATACTGTAACTGCGATACAGAACACTTTTTGTGGGCGTTTCTTATGCAAATGAACAGAAACTGTACTGTATCTGCAAAATATCAACGATACAGTACGGTTTATTTTTAGCCATGACGGAAAGCTGTATCTGTATAGACAGACACAAAATCGTTCAATTCGCATGATAGCACTGATAGTATTGACTAAAAATTTGAGGTGAATTAAAAATAAAATTTTACAACGTAAATTTATTAGTGTCGGATTCAAAAATTTAAGAAAAGAGGGAGTGGGGCAGTTCAAACTGATTACTTTGAACACCCCCCAACCCCCCCCCCCCCAAAAAAAAAATCAGTGGAAATCGTATTTCGTGGGGTTAGATTTATAACCAACCAAGACACTATGTGCGTGATATCGTTACTTGTTGATAAATTAAAAAGCGTATGTATACAAGTTTACCAAAAATCATTTACGAAAGCGAAAAAGAAAAAAAATCAAGGAGGATGGGAGGGGGGGGGGGGCACCAGTGATTGCTCGAATCCCCTTTGGTTACACTACATTTTATTTAAAACATGAAGTTAAATATGGGTGGGTCCCCTTCCTTTCATCTATTTATTTCAATTTAATACTGACGACCGGAGAACATTTCTCGGACATTTCTCTCAGAAAACGATCTCCCCGAAGCATTTTTGTTTCAAAAATATTCTGCATGATTCTTATATATCAAAATATTTTGCATTAATTAAGTCGTGGCTTAAATTAAAAAAAAATGTCAGCAAGAGCTAAAAAGAGAAAAAAAACACTACGTAATGAAATCTAAATTTAACTTTTTTGGAGAACAAATTATATTATGCATCCCCTAAATAATTATTTTATAATGATAAATACCTGCACGTCCACATCACTCGGCATTTCAGTTGCGAATGCTTAAAATGGAATACTAAATCAACTTTCTGCAAAATCATCTGATTGGTTGAGTGATATGTACCCAAATACGCATGTAAATTAGTGAGGTCATAAGAAAGGTCATGTCACAAGTCATTTAGAATACTCGTTTCCTACTGTATCGGAGATACAGGGCGGGGCCCGGCTCGAGCTATCGCTCTCGCCTCAAGCCCCGCCCTGTATCTCCGATACAGTAGGAAACGAGTACTCTAAATAATACTTGTTGATTTAAATCGAGAAAATGAAAAGCGAAACTATGCAATATCATACTGTAATCCTCTTTCATTTGTATCCACTGGTATGGCACGCCAAATCCACAAAAATGAGCAGAACATAGTTTCACAGTTGATAAACTAGGTTTATCGGTTGTAAACTATAGTTTACGGACTGTAAACTATAGTTAACAACGTTAATCTATATTTTACATCTGTAAACCATAGTTAATGCGATAATCTATGTTTCACAACCGTAAACTATACTTAACATCGAAAACAATCATTTGCGATCGCAAAACATAGATTATCTGATAAATACAGTTTCACGATTTGTAAACTATAGTTAACAACTCTTAACTATAGTTCACAATTGTAATCTATAGTTTACAAACGTGAATCTATGTTTATCAACAAAATCTATTGTTAACGCTTTATTCAGACAGATAAACTTAGATTGGCATTCGTAAACTATAGTTAACGACCGCTAAAAATATTGTTTTACAGATAAAAACTATACTTAACGAATCGTTAACTATACTTAACGAATCGTTAACTATAGTTTACGGTTTGTAAACTATAGTTTACAGTCGATAAACCTAGTTTATCAAATGTGAAACTAGGTTTATCTCATTTTTGTGAATTTGGCGTGCCATACACTGGATAAAAGTAAAATAAGCATTTTTGCAATTATTCTCTACATGTATTGAGAAGTTAATGGTTCGTTTTAATAAAACGAGCCATCAGCTTCTCGATCAGTAGAGAATATTTTGCAATGAGATCTTTCAGGTCTTTCGTAATAAGTACTGATTCAGTCATTCAATTAATTATCACTACGTATACCGTAATTTGAGCCAGAGTTCGTTGGCGAAATTCCGAATACATAAACAAATTCTGGAAGCAATGCTGTAAGATCATCAATCCTCCCATATGTTGTCGTACATGTACTTGAAAAAGGGTTACATGTATTTGAAGAAACCACTGCGCCTATGGACTGTGGAACTGAATGAGTATTTTCTTCTATAATTTCTATGTAGTTGAAGCCTTGGTTTCCTTTCATTGTTTGTTGTCGAGGATATGTTATACTGGTTATCAAGGGTTCAATTGGGTAAAAATCAGCTTCACATTCCAGGAAATTATAATCGGAAAAGTTTTTTGGCAGAAAGCGTTTTCCATAGCTAGCCAAGTGTCCGATTCGTTTCCCTCATTTTTGGGAGATGAGCATCGTCTCAAGCCACGGTCCGGAGTCCGCATATATAGCTCTCTCCTACCAGATGGGAGAGGAGCGTACATTTTGGCCGTGGTTTGCGACGATGGGAGATGAGGGAAACGAATCGGACACTTGGCTAGTGAAGATGGGTGAACCCAAACCCAAAATTATCCATTTCTAAAGTGACTTCCTGTTGGTCGTAAGCTGGGTCCTCAATTTACCTCTTTCCGTTTACTCTTCTCTCTAACGTATAACTTCGGAATGCGCTAATCCCCAGACTCATGTAACTATGCTTTAGTTTCTTTGTATTGACAGCTTTAAATGCTTTCTTAAAAACTGTAAAACCATTTTTCTGGATTTCAATTTTCATTTTTTTTTTTATACCTCCGCAATCGAAGATCTGTGGATATATACTTTTTGCCTTGTCCCTCAATCTGTCTGACATTTTTCTCTTTGTCTATTTAAATATGTTTGTCCGCAAAAGCTTTATCATTGCCCATAACTTTTAGTTGAAGTTATGGCTCTCATATTTCACAAGTTTCAAAATTTACTTACCTCGTCATTGGTCATTTGCAAAATTATTTTGTTAAAACAGATTCTGATTGCACACATAAGTACTCTGAAGTTGACAACAAGAAGATGCTTGAGTTTCTGATTGACAATATCTATAGATGTGGTTTTGGAGACCTGGTATTCCAACAATCTATTGGAAATCCCATGGGTACAAATTGCGCTCCGTTATTAGCAGACTTATTTTTATATTCATATGAAGCAGAATTTATGCAAAATCTTATGCGTAAAAGAAGAAAACACTTGCTGTGGCCTTCAACTCGACTATTTAGATTTATCGACGACGTACTGATTGATTGATTGTATACTGTTTAACGTCCCTCTCCAGAATATTTCACTGATATGGAGACGTCACCATATCCGGTGAAGGGCTGCAAATTTAGGCCTACGCTCGGCACTTACGGCCTTTGAGCAGGGAGGGATCTTTATCGTGCCACACCAGTTGTGACACGGGGCCTCGGTTTATACGGTCTCATCCGAAGGACCGCCCCATTTAGTCGCCTTTTGCGACAAGCAAGGGAGTACTGAGGACCTATTCTAACCCGGATCCCCACGGGGCTCGACGACGTATTGTCAATTAATAATGGTAATTTCCATTCCTACGTCGA